CGTTCAATTCCCATGCCACGTGAGTTGTTGAATATCTGTAATATTACCTCCTACGCTTATATGTTGGGTAGAATTAGAATCTGAGTGGCTTCTCGGGGATACAGAGATCAGAAAGAGATGATCAGCTTTGGGATTCAAGGAGGGTCAGGAGACCTAAGCTCTAATAAGGAAATTCCATTTATCACTTGCCTCTCAAAATCCCCACAGAAGTCCCCACATCTTCAGCACATTCCTCCACCTGTTGTTTGCGCAGGCATTTCAAATGCAACACGCTTCAGCCAGAACCTGTCATCTATCTGCTAAATCTGCTCTCTTCCTAACTTTCCTGATTAGTGGAAGAGCTTCTCCAACTGTTTTGTCCCCTGCAGTAGAAAATTAGGAATCAGCTTAGGCTTTGTTTCATTCTGATTTCCTCTTACTGCTTACCAAGATCTGCCCATTCTATGTCATAAAAAAATCTCTTGAATCTGACCTTTTCCCCATTCCTATTGCTGCTGTCCTCTAGTTGCGATTATTTTCCTAACCTGTCTCTTGGCCTCCAGCCTTTTGCTCCTCCAGTTCCTGTGCTGCTTCCAGTATCACCAATCCCACCTGGTCCATGAGCTCTTTTTTTTTGTGTGTGTGTGGGGGGGGGTACTAGGAATTGAACTCAGCAGTATTAAACCACTAAGCCACATCCCCAGCCCTAATTTTGCATTTTATGTAGAAACAGGGTCTCACTCAGTTGCTTAGTGCCTCACCATTGCTGAGGCTGGTTTTGAATTCACAGTCCTCCTGTCTCAGCATCCCAAGCCACTGGGATTACAGATGTGCGCCACCACTCCCGGCAGTCCATGAGCTCTTTATCTCCTCTTCTGCTGCAGGGGGGACAGTGGGAACCCTCTGCTTTGTCAGGGAGTAGTGGTTTAGCATCACACAATTTAGGTGGTGATAATATAAAGCAGATGAGACTTTGAGTCGGTTTATTATTGCATTTAAATTCTTTACAAAAAATGCACCCCTTTTTGCCTAACATGGCTGTTGCTCCCACCCACTGTCCTTGGTTAGATGCTGGAGATAATATGCTCTACTGCACAAGAGTTATAATGAAAGTTAGAAGAAGCAATGCTTGCTGTAGATCTTAGCCGAGAGACCTGCACATGGTGAACATTTTGTTAATTTAATGATTATTAATAATAATATTGTTATGGGTTCCCCATTCTTTTCTTGGTTTCTGCCTTGGCATGCACAGCCTCTCTTGTCTGGCCTCACTTACCTCTTCCATCTTCCTGAATCCTACATTCCAGCTATGCTAAACTGTTTACACTGCCCTGCACACACCAAGTTTTTCCAAATTCCAGGCCTTTGCAAATGCTCTTTACTTGGCTTGGAATGGCTTCCTTTCTTCTTGGTTCAGCATTGAAGATCCATCTCTCTATTCTACCTCCTCAAATTATCCACACACAAGTAAGAACTCCCCCCATTGCTTCCATGGCCCTCTGCTCTGGTCTCCTCTGTAAGGTCTGCCTTGATCGCAGTTTCTGGAAGAGAGACTCCATATAGTGTTCACCTTTGTATCCACAGTTGTCAAAATTATGTCTGGCTTAGAATATGGGCTCAATATGCATAGAATTTTGCTTGTTTGCTTGTTTTGTTTTATTGAAAGGAATGAATGGGAACAGTTTTGACTTCACCCCAAGCCCAGTAAAAACTTTAATGACAGTTTGAGTATTTTATGCAGCCTAATACTGGACCCTTCTTTCCGTGCCCCAGGAAAAATATTCCCTAATACTAGAGTGCCTGCGTTCTTTGGGAATTAACCTCATGACTAAAGGAACAGGGGATATCAAAGAAGGGAGAGCAAGAGTAGGTCAATGCCATCTTCACAGCAGTCCCTGAGAGGGCGCTGTTCCCAAATCAAACCCCCAGAGGCGGGGACTGAAACGCCAGCGCTTTCCCACGGGAGCCGGCCAGCATCCTTTCCCAGGCAGTGGCCTCCCGGCCGCAGAGCGCCTGCCCACAGACATGGCGGCGCCCTGCTCGGCTTCGCGTCACGGGGACCGTGGGTCCGGGCAGGCCGTGCCAGTACTCAGGGACTTCCTCCACGCATCGGCTTCCTGCACCGCTGGCATTTAAACGCGCGCCTGGGGCTGAGGGATGCTGCTACGGATGCGGAGCTGTCCTCCGGCTGTGGCGCGCTGACACCTGCCCCGAGCGGTCTCGGCCAGGCAGGAGCACAACCCAAGCATCCCCTAGCCGAGGGCCGGGCAGAGCAGGCGAGGGCTGGGGGAGATAGGAGACCCCCGCACAGTCCCAGCATCTGGCAGTTCGTCACAAGTCGGGCTCGAGGTTGCAACCTTCCTCCCGCAGCCCAGATCATTTTCCGGGGCTGCCGGATGAAGCGGGGGCTGGGCTGGGTCCCAGTCGCCGGGGCAGAAGAAGCGCCCGGGCCATGGTGCGGCTGAGCCCCGCGCTCGGGTGAGGCGGCGGCGCGGCTCGAGCCCGGAGGGGCGCCTTCCCCAGGAGCCTTCCCCGCGGAGCCTTCCAGGGGGCCGCGATGTTCAGCTGGCTGGGTACCGACGACCGCCGGAGGAAGGACCCCGAGGTCTTCCAGACGGTCAGCGAGGGGCTCAAGAAACTCTACAAGAGCAAGCTGCTGCCGCTGGAAGAGTATTACCGCTTCCACGAGTTCCACTCGCCTGCCCTGGAGGATGCCGATTTTGACAACAAGCCTATGGTCCTGCTGGTGGGCCAGTACTCCACCGGGAAGACCACCTTCATCAGGTGAGCAGCCCCAGGGCCTGGCAGCCCATCCCGTGCGTGCCCCTGCGCGGAGTCCTCAGGTCTCCTGCCTGGGGATAAACTGGAAGTCTTCACTTAAGGGCTCTGACTAAAGCCTTGTGTGTGGTCTCAAAAGCGACCCCCACAATTTCCCTACTGGTCCCCCCTCTGCTTACTGCACAGGGCTTCTGTACTTAGCCCTTGGTTCAGGTGGTGGATTTTAAGAGTTCAAGTTTAGGTCCATCCCAGTTCTCCCCATTTTCTCAATGATGAAACCAAGGCCTAGGAAGAAAAAAATGGCAGAGCGCTTGGTCTCACTTTTTAGAGACCTATCCTTCAGGGCCAGGATCACTTTCCTTGCCTTTTAAATGGCTCAGCACTCACTTGAAGGCCTTCTGGCTGCAGCGAGGAGTTCTGATGACCGACCGCAGGCCTGGAAATGAAGGTGGTGCCAGGTAGTGCTACTTGTCCTGTTATTTTCTTCCTCTGGGGTAGTGCTCTTAGGTATATCTCTTGGTGACAAAACAGATGCAGAGTTGAGAAGCGGAATGCTTTTAATCTCTTTTCTTCTTTGACCTTAATGGCTCAATAATGATTTTAAAGACTTTTGGAAGTGGTAGGGATACTACAGCATCTCATCCAGTCCCCTGACTTTGCAAGTAAGATAACTGAGGCAATAGAGAAATTAAATGAATTGTCCAAAGTCATATAATGGGCGGCCGCAAACCTGGGATACAAATCTTGAGGGGATGGTTGGCTTAATGCCTATAACTTTGAGGGTGAGTCATCCATTCCCTTGAATGACAGAATCCTTGGGCTGGAAGTTTGTCCAGTGTGCATTGATAGAGGTCTGTATATTGTCGACCAGAGTAATGAGCATCCTTCCTGTCTTCAGAGAACAAGCTCTGCTTCAGTGGTAAATGCAGTCTATAAAGTCAGGCTGCTTTTCCTGGCCTCATTTGAAGACATGCCAAACTGTTGAGGAGTTAGGAGTCAGTGTGGGGATGGGGTTTGGTTGGTACCCCTCCCAGGTCAAGCATACTTATCTCCTGCAGAGGGTTTGAAGCAGGAGTCCTCTCATTTCCATTCATTGGCTATTTGAGTATCTGAAGAAAGCAAGGCCTTGCTTGTTTGGTGATGAAAGCAGAAAAACAGACAGTCTAGTTACTAATTTTCTAGGTACTAATTTTCTCTAATGCTTAGCTTATACTAGGCTTATATCACACCTCCTGAGAGCAGGACGTGCACCAAGCTAGCATGTCATGTCTGAACAGAACATCAGATCAAGTTTGTTTTTAAGCCGTGGACAGCCTTGAGCTCAGGAGCTTTGAGAGTTCAAATGATTTCTGAATCACTTGGGGTCTAGGGCTGATGTTTTGTTGACTCTTACATATGTTATATTGTTAGAACTTCAGGATCCCTGAGAGATTAATCCAATCGTTGCTTCTTAACTTTTTAAAAGGTCAGAACTTCCTTTGAAAATCTAATAAAAGCTGTGGGCCTACTCTTTAGAAAAATGCACATGTATCCTAAATTTACATTTAATGCTGGGGGTCTAAGAGCCATCCTTGGACCTTAAGGTAAGAACCCTGATCCATTCCCAGCCCCTCATTTTATTAAAATTGCTGCCGAGGCACTGCAGAGATACTTGGATTGTGCACAAGGTTTCCTTTGTGATTTCTGTCCACCTGTCCTGGATTCACCTTACAGGAAGCACAGGCCATTTGCAGGCTGCTCCTGTGCGGCACAGCCTTCCCTGGCTCTCTGGACATTCCTTGGTCATGAGTCTTAGTATGTCCTATTATTGGAACTTCTCCGCCCAAGGCACAAGTTCTTACAAGGCAGAATCAGTGTCCTAGCCTCTCCCAGGTCTCAGCTACAGGAGATGTTTTGAATAGGAGGGAAGATGAAGAAGGTGAGAGTCCCTAGGGTCTCTGAGTAGCAGACAGGTTTAAGTGCTTTTGTCTGAGAGGCCCTCTTGGCTTTGTCTGAGTCATCGCTGGCTGTTATGGGTCTAAGAAAGTGACCCAGTGCGTTGCCCCAGATTATTCCTTATCTGAGGGAGACAGAAGACAGGGAGAGGCAGACCTCTTTTCTTTTTTATCCTCCAAAGTCCAAGAGTTCCCCTCCCAACTCAGACCAGTAACTGAATTTAGCCCATTCATCAAAAGCTCTTTCCCCTTAAGGGAGAGTCAACCAACAGACTAGGCCATTTGTAGCCCAAGGAGCCCTCTTGAACCAAATTATGTATTTTTCTTTCTTCTCATTAAATCCAGCGGTTTATTTTTAATGGAAAAATGCAGACATGAATAAATTTGAAGAAATAAAATCATCCCTAATCCCATAACTCGGGGGAAAACATTTTAAATAACATGCAAATTTTTCTTTCTAGTATTTTTAACTATTTTATACCACA